TTGTATCACTTTAAATTAGCTGACAATCCATATATACCGGAACTATATTTGTGAAACAAAGCCTTGATTCAGCTATATCCAATAGAAATATGGTGCATATCAAGTTCAAGATGTAAAACATATGATATGATATGATGCAGATAAATTGTAAAAACATTTACATGATACATATATACATGCCATAAATAATAGTTTAAGAAACTATTCACTCTTTATCCAGACTTCTTGGGGAAAATTTGTATTTAGTTTGATTTGGCTTTCTAAATTTACAGTATGTTTAAACTTGGGTAATGCCGATTCTCATGTAGTTTGGAGGGACAGATTTGCTATTTTTGGGTCTTGAATATATAGTCTTCAGAGGTACTAAAAATGTTATAAAGCAAATAATTATTTAAAAATACTTCACAGAGTCTCAACAAATGACGAGCGGTCATTTTAACTTAAAAGAACCGTCCCTTTAAAAAAATTTTCAATGATCATTGTAAATGAAAAGAATTTAGTTTTGTGTTGAAATGTGTCTCTAAGGCACATAGCCACAGGATTAATATCCCATCTGGAGACCAGCTTCTCCAATCTGCATATACGGAAGAGGAAAAGTTTAGTTTAAATTCTATCTCATCCCATATTAGCCTTAGACTAGCAAAAATAATATGAAATGAATGGAGTTTTACATCCTACTTTCTTCAAGATCTATTAAAGACAGGCAATGCCATGCAGTGAGCATTGAGGGAAATTTTGTCAGGACAGTGGCATTACTACTCTTTATCGATTTCCAACTGTCAAGGAATCTTTAATGTAGCACACAGGGCTTTTCGGTTTATTGTCTAGAGGCTTTTTCCATGTCCTGCCTTACTATATTGATATCAGTTTTGGTGAATATTTTGTTAAATTATACATTATTCAAGTCAGATATATATATATATGAAATGATGAACTTAAGCTGCAAGTCTGTAGAGCTCTGTATAGTAAATATATAGTATGAATGATGTGACCTTTTCCTTCACAGACTCGTTCAGCTGTTAAGAAAACAGAAAAACATCAAGCCATCTGGCTTAGTTTGTTGATCTCTTAAGATATTCCATTGTTATAGCTTTTATTATCACTTTCTTCAAATACCTGAACATTATTATCAACAACATTACAGTAGTTTGGATTGTTTATAAATTTGTTATGGCTCATTGACGCACATTCAGATTTTTGTGTTATTATGTTTGCCCAAATATTTAGATTTTGATCTCCTTCAGTACCTGTCATCGTGATTTTCAAATTTTTTTGGAAGGTTGCAAGTGGACATTCTTTTGTATAAGGTTCACCATATGTTTTGACTAATAGTACCTAAGTCACAGAACAGTAATTTTGTAGCTAAGCTAATCAGTAATAGTACCGGTATTCACAGCTCACCATCAAAATTTGAGACTTTAAATCCACCTGTCCAGAATTATCTGTGTCTTGAGATTTATGCACCTGCTTCAGTAAAATGTGATTTTGCTGATAACTTATTAGAAACAGGTTGCTCAACTGTAGACATAAGTAGAAAATGCTAGAAATAGCCTTAATTATATGTAATATTGAACTTTGTAAAATTATTCAAATCCAATATATGACATTCTTAATTACAATTAGTTAGAATAAATCAAAAAGGTTGTGTATATAATGAAAAAATTCTTATGGATTACAATTACTAACTTTATTTGAGCGACGTTTCAACCAGCGTTCTCTGGTCTTTATCAATGAATTGCTTGATAAAGACCAGAGAACACGTCACTCTAATAAAGTTAATAATTGTAATCCATAAGAATTTTTTCAATATATCCAACACCTTTACTAAATGCCATTCAAAGATCAATGTTGTGTATGTTATACAGTGGTATAATCTAATTTTATATTAAATTAGAATTGATGGTTGAATATACTTATGATTGGTGGATATGCACAAATTTGTTGTTTAGTCTCTTTTTGTTTATCCAGACTGTACATACATAGACATTTATGATTGGTTAAAACTCTTAATTATATGCAATAATAACATAATGATATGATTAAGAATATATGATAATTCATTACAAAACACCAATTAATCAAATAGTTTGCTTAATTTGACACTACAGAATAAGGAAACCCATCTTTAATACCTAATTGTGTGAAAGTCAATTACTGAATGTTTTAACACTGATCAAAATGTGGTCTGTAGCTTGAAGTCTTACCTTATTTCTTGTTACCTCCCTTTAACTGTAACTAAAAGCTGACATATCAGCACTGATTGTCAGATTGTGCGATTTTGACCATGTTTGTCCACAAATTTTGATATTTGTGAGCTTAAGAAGTTAAACCATGTACTCTTTTTTGGCAGGTCAACAATGATTCTTGAATTCAGAAGAAATCACCATGGTTACTGTGGTTACTTAGTGACTGAGACATCCCATCTTCTGTCTCAGGTCCCATTTCACAAAAGTGTAGAATTTTACATTAAGAAATAAAATATTGAGGACAAAATTGCTCGTAATATTTTTTGTTGAACAAGGTCCAGGGTAATAAGTTTCATCCTGATGCAAGAGCATACACTGTTGACTCTATCAACCAGTCTATTTCTCACCTTCTCACCAATTGATTGGTAACAAATAGTGAGATGTGATTTATCTAGAGACAATAGTCAATGTGAGAAGGAGGTGTCCAGTCACTAATTGATTCTATTATTAAGATGTAATCTGAGGCTATAGCATGGTACCGATAGACTAAATATAGGATTAATTGCCGCTAATTATAGTATCAAGAGTACTTTATACTGTCTTAATACCAACTTCTGAAGATTTATTTGGTAATATCAGGCTGAACACCTTTCATTCATTTTGAACTAAAAGAAATAGATACTGCAAACCGATATGACAGAATCATTAAAGGGACCCTTGTGAGCTGATTTCGGTTTTGAATTTTTGTAAATCGTCTTCAGAAGTAGGAGAAATGTACAAAAATCCCCTAAATATATCCCTTCAAACTAGGCATTTCACTTTCTGTTTCTATAACAGAAAAGACGAGTGATCTTTGACCATCTGTTGCTGATTGGCTTAGCTAATAAAAATCTGTTTCTTAGACAAAGGTACAATTGGTTGATGGTGAACCTGTTCCTTTAAAGGGTGACTATCTGTAAATTCTACTTCTGCTTTGTGACTATTTCATAACAAAGAATCTGCCATGGACACAGTGTCCAGTTGTTGTGAAATAGATTATAAATGATATTAATTTGAAGTAAAAAATTGTGAACCTACATACATTTTTGTACACTTTTAGACCTTAGAGAGAAAATTCCTGAATGAAATGCATGGAATAAAAGCACATCTTATTACCAATTTTTTGGTACCTTTTCATTCTAAGGTGACAACCCATGTTATATACAAAGCTCAAAAAAGAAGCTTTAAAGGGACATGTTGGCTATTTTTTTACCAATCGTACCTTAGTCTCAGAAACTGGAATTTTTTAGGTAAGCCAATCAGTTATAGTGATTATAAAGCTCACTGTCGAAATTTGAGCCTTCAAATCCATGCTCACCTAGAATTATCCACTTTTCATCTTTTCTTGAGACACTGCCTAATATAAAAAATACATTATTGCGGGGAGAAGTTATAAAGACATTAGTCTGTTCTCCAATCTATTTTCTTAATGAAATAAAATATTGTTAACAAAAAAAATACATCTATAGAAATAGGAAAGAAATTCTTAGTTTGAGATATTTTGAAGGAATTACCTGAAATATATTCAAGGCTGAAATCATCCCCCAATTTGCAAATTTGTCTCTTTAAAAAATTTCAATAAGCGGAAATTACAAGCAAACACTCCTTGAAATGAGATGTTCAAATTCCAATATATCATTGAATGGTTGTCTCCTATATTACTACTCTTCTTAATAATTGATAAAGTTAATTAGTTTGCCTTGTCCAGAAATATCTTCCTTTACCTTGAGTTGTTACAACGCTTTCAATCTATCATATTGTCAGCTTATGATTTGATTGGTTGTACTTGTGTATTGTTTCTATGGCGTTAGTTAAACGGTACAGCCCAATGGTGATCAACGGAACTAGAGTTAAAATTTCATGTACAATGTATTAGCTTGAAACAGTAGGATATTGATTACTCAGTCAGCTTATCAAACTCTTACTAAAGCATACACATTTTCTAAGTACCAGCGTTAATGGAAAGGTTGTTTTTAAACGCTCTTATTTATTTGTTTTAATAGCACTTGGAAAACGGTTTAGGCTTATTTTCTCCGTGGTTTATGGCAGTTTTATTGAGGATTAGATCAGTATGGTTGCAAATTGCAGTGAATTGTTGTTAACAGAATCTGATTTTTGAAAATTTCAACTAAGTTTTCTGCTTGTGGGGTTAAAATTGATTGGGATTCGGAAAATTTATAAAATATTTTTTGTGATTACTCGCCACTCAAAATTTTGGTTGTGGAACTGGACTTTTTTTTTATATCATCGGCAAACAGTCGTGCCGTTGTTTGGAGAAAAAATAAAATTCCAATAAAGTTTGAAGAACTTTGGAAATTATTGTTCTTGGATTAAAAGGGATTATTTTGAATTCCAAATATTTTGGATTAAGATAAAAGAATTAAATTACAGATGGGAAGTTATCTGTAACAAACGTCATATATTGTGTGAACTTGTAATTGGTGTGAAGCAATGATAAAATGTGTGTCATGTAAAAAAAAAAAGTTAAAATTGTTTAAATTGGATGAAATTATTATAAAATGCTTCATGAGGAAAAAAAGATGTTTTTTGTGAGTGGAAAAGGATAAATGTGGAGGAAGACTGGAAGTCATGATGATTTTAAATGTCAAACAATTTTATAAATTTATGTTGATAACAATTCCTTCCTGTTGTTATTTTCTCTCAATTTGTCAACATGATTAAATGAACAGCTATATCAAAGTGTAATTTTTTAAACCAAATGTCGATCTTAGTCATTATCAGATTTCTTAGTTTTGTGTACAATTAGGAGACTCAATGGCCAACGGTTTTAATTTATATACAGATTTACAATATCGTGGATTGGATTTTGTGGCATATCGTTTAAAAAGTTTGGATGATAAGTATTTGAAATTCTTTATACAGGTAAGATATGAGGAACAGTCTTGCCTTCAACGGTTTTAGAAAATTTAAACAAGACTGAACTCTCCATCACACCAAGATTTTGATTTGATTTTATTCATCTTCATCAATAAAGCTTGATGCATATCAATTCCAGACAGCCTTGCTAAATTTACCTGATTGTTCACTGCATGGTATTGATATTGATCCATCCACTCTCATCTGGAAAACCTTTCATTTCATATCTGACTCTCATCTAGACAACCTTTCATTTCATATCTGACTCTCATCAGGACAACCTTTCATTTCATATCTGACTCTCCTCAGGACAATCTTTCATTTCATATCTGACTCTCATCTAGGACAATCTTTCATTTCATATCTGACTCTCATCAGGACAATCTTTCATTTCATATCTGACTCTCATCTAGACAACCTTTCATTTCATATCTGACTCTCATCAGACAACCTTTCATATCATACCTGACTCTCATCTAGACAACCTTTCATTTCATATCTGACTCTCCTCAGGACAACCTTTCATTTCATATCTGACTCTCCTCAGGACAATCTTTCATTTCATATCTGACTCTCATCTAGACAACCTTTCATTTCATATCTGACTCTCATCAGGACAACCTTTCATATCATACCTGACTCTCATCTAGACAACCTTTCATTTCATATCTGACTCTCATCTAGACAACCTTCCATTTCATATCTGACTCTCATCTAGACAACCTTTCATTTCATATCTGACTCTCCTCAGGACACCTTTCATTTCATATCTGACTCTCATCTAGACAACCTTTCATTTCATATCTGACTCTCCTCAGGACAATCTTTCATTTCATATCTGACTCTCCTCAGGACAATCTTTCATATCATATCTGACTCTCCTCAGGACAACCTTTCATGCTTTTTGATAATTTTTTCACTAGGTCTGTTTTCTGACACCTGGTAAAAAAAAGCTTGATAAAGCATGATTGATTCAAGGTTCTGGCATGTCAATATGGTTTCCTATTGTAATAAAACCAATTATCGTGAAAAACCTTATACACAAATAAGTCATTGAATAATGAATTTAAATCTAAAAGACATTTATAATCTGTAATTCTTGAAATCAACCACACGCATTTAAATGGCCTCATCCAAAACTGTGACTGAAAATTTGAGATGATTGATATGCCAAGAGATCTAGAAAAACAAAAGTAAAGACCTATTTATCACTACTCTATCAGACTTTAGCATAATTAGACCAATTAGCAGGCAACAAATCACATCAAACATTATTTTCTAGTTGACTTCTGTCAAGAGGTTTTTATACACCCACATGAAATGTGGAGCGTATATTGGTGTCATCCATGGCCCTTTGGATTTTATGCAGTCATTAACCCAGTTTCCTAGTGTCAATGATACAAGTCTGACATTTACAGAGGAGCTTACATAAAAAGGGCTATGTTAGAATGGAACAAAAATCGAGGCCCAATTTGCTACAGACGGTGAGCGTTAAAGATCCCTCGACAGTTAAAATATATAAAAAACTGATACTGGTTGATACTGCTGTACTGACAAAATTTCCCTCATTGGACACTGGATGACATTGGCAGTTTCATAAGCTTAATTAGGTCCAGAAGGTCAAGACATAAAAGTCCACTCATTTCATTTATTATGGGCCTGTATCAAAGGCTGGATATGTACGTCCTTAAGCATTATCTTTAAATGGCCACAAGATAAAAGTCTTTGAAAGTTGACCATGAGATCACTTGAAAGAAAGATGTTTGTCTGATAGAGGACTTTTGTCACCTAGGCATGGAATTTCAACTTATAATTACTTTATGGCTTATAACTTATTCATGCTCACTATACTTCTTTGACTATAAACAGTCAATGTATATGACGTGGAAAATTTCATTTTTCACTCCTGAAGAAAAACACTATCTGATTTAGTGCGAAACATCTGCCTCTATTCCAGCCTCTATTCCAGCCTCAACTCAAATGGATATTTTGACAGTTGTCAGCTGGAGAAGAGTCAGAAGAAAAAGACCCTGTTAAAAGGGGATTTTCCACACCTCCAAAGATTCGCTTTCTCAAACATAATATTGAATTACCTTTAAGTTGATTGTAAATTAGTGTTGGGCATCACTGTAACTTTCGTTTTGTTAGTATCACGTGACTATGACCTTTGAACTGTTGGCTGCGCATGCAGTTTTAAATGGCTGATGCTAGATCAGTTTTGCCAAAAAAGACTTTGATGGAACTGCGGAGACATCAATTGTGTAGGGAGAAAAGATGGTATGACTGAATTACAAAAATATTCATCTTTCCATACATACCTGGGTTTTCAGATCTGAGGGGAGATGCGGAATGTCCCGATTTAACAGGGCCTATTTTTTCTGTCTCTACACGGGCTGACATCTGTCCAAATAGCTATCAGAGGATGGAATAGAGACACATGTTTCGGTCTACACATGTATTCTCTTAGCTTTTTATTCTGAACTATTCTTTGATAGGTGACATTCTAACTTACTATCTTCATCAGTCTTTCTGTTTTTGCAAAACTACATACCAGTAGGCAGACTTAGGATTGAGAAAGATGTTAATGTAACACTAGCTTGTGACCATCTATAGACAGAACAAGAACTTCAACAAGCATTTAGTCCTTGGCAAACTTGCCTTTCACCCTTTTGATTGGTTGTTCAAAAAGGTTTCTAAAGGCTTTTCATTTCTCTAATTTTTCATACGGACATCATTATTACATTTTCAATTCACACCAAATGATTTTTAGATTTAATGTTTTGAATGAAAATTGACAATGAAATATTAGTTTAAAAAAAAAAACAATTGAAAGTTCTCAACTTTTTATGTTTGACAGCATCAATTTGCATAATTCCAGTCATTTCAGTCAGATGTCTGTGGTTGTTGCAATTCCACTAAAACTAAGTGTTTCATGACATCACTTTCTCAAAAACTGCTAATGATATCTAAGGAACTTTGAAATATTAAAGTTACAAAATGCCAAGTTTCAGTGGATTACACATAAAAATTATAGAAAACTGAATCTGATACCAAGGGACAGATGCTGCATATTGAAAATAAGTAAGAAGTACAAGAATTGTACGAAAATCACATAGTTCCTTTAAAAATACTTCAAACTACAAATTTTACTCACTATTTCTATATTATGTCTTTTGTACGAGTCGCATTTTAACATTCAAATGCAGATAATTCTTTGAAGGCTAAAATTTCATCGCTAAAGCTGTGAACACTATTCTTGATTGGCTTATATTGCTAAAAAAGAGATTGGTCAAAAAAATGGTGCTTCTGTCCCTTAAAAGAAAGGTATACTACATCTTAGGATTACCTTAACTATAAGACAGAATCTCTCTATAATCCAATAAATCTATAAAACTAAGTAATGATTCATTAAACTAAGTAATTTTGAAACACGCTAAGAAACATGTTTAATTAATTATTTAGTTTAACGGATATATCGTGGTATATAGAGATTCTATTCTTTAGTCATGGCATCTGGAAAGTCCAACTGATGAATATATAATCATATTGACCAAGTCCATTCTAAGAGGTAGTATTCCTTTAATGAAGATTTAAGAAATGTTTCATTTAATCAAGTTTTAATATTTTGTTTTTTTGCAGGAATTAGCAACAGTCACCAAAGAATTAAATCAAGCTCGTGATCAGTTATTAGAAAGAGAAGAAGAGATATCAGAATTAAAGGCTGAACGAAATAATACTCGGGTAAGTGGAATATGTTTTTTTACATTAACAACTCGGCAGTTCAATTAAAATTAAGCTAGGCTAGTCTCTGTTTTTTGATGGAGTAATCCATAGTTTCTGTAGATTCAGAATTCTTTCTCATTGCATTGAAAAATCAGCTCGATGGCTTTATTTTGCATGACCTTTTCAAATGATACCAGATTAACCTGTTTTGTACTTGTATTTTGATGTGTGGAGTTATTTGAAGACAAGGAGAATGGAATTGGAAAATTCTGATGACAGATCGGTTAAATTGTGTAATCAGATATATTCCATGAATTATCATAACTCATAGGTTTGATATATGGGAAGACATTTTCAAGAATTTCAAAAAGAACATCTGATAGCACTTTTCATTATGAAATACTTACTGACTTATGATTAATATACTTCCTCATGTGAAAACTTCATTAGCTGCTACTAATGCCAGTACAGTGTGTTATTTGGATTTCGGGTTCTGTTTTGCGGTTCGGATCGATATTACTTGGCTTATTTATTAACACATTTCAATGGACCTAAAGAACTTGAATAGGATTGTTAGGTTTAGCTCAAATCTTGAAGGTTTTCATTAGGTGTTGCTCAAGTGATACATGAAGAAAAAATTCGAGATTTAATATGTCTGCCTAGAAACGCTTTGTTTATCATCACTACCAACAGAAACCAAATGAAAATGAGTTATTGATATTATATTGATACAAAGGTATTTTTATGGCCCACCATTTATTTCTTCATTTATAATTAATATACTTTTTATTACACTGATTGAAATGTTATAAAAACACTTTATGTGCTTGGAATGAAGTAAACCAATTTAGAAAACAAATCAGTGGATTTAATCAACTTTTTATGACAATGTAGGTATTAAATAGGACTAACTGGAGATATGACATTTTGTACTTTTTTACTGAAAAAGTATGGTTTACACTGAAATTAGAAATATTCTGTCATTAGATTGGAAGCATCAGATGAAGAATTATATTACTCACTCAAGAAGTACTTGATAATGAAAAGTGGCATCAGGTGTCTAGAAGAGTAAGCATACCCTGCCTGTATAAATTATGTGTTTGGAGGTTATATCAGCTTGTTATGATGAAATGGACAGTGTATAAAAATATATTTAAATCCAATAGATCTTGATTAATTAAAAAGAATTTGATTGACAGTAAGCAAGAAAAAAAAGTTGATTCTATTAATCATTAAACATTGGTGATTGAGTACAATGTGCATGGTTGATTTGGAACAATAGTCATACCATAGTATCACTGACCTAGGTACTAAATACTAAAATAGAAATAGGTCAGAATCAATATAAACAATAGCCTTATAGTATAATGTTGGTTTTAATTATAAATTGATTATAGTCGGTTAATTTCATTAAATCCTGAAAATAAGTCAAGTTCTATTACACTGGCTATATATTATATATCTCCTTACATTAGTCTATATTCACCTAGAGAGTCAATATTTGAGAGTATATATTCGCCAAGAGGCTCTATATTTGGCCAGGTAGTCTATATTCATGGTCTATATTTGTCCAGGTAGTCTATATTAGAGAGTCTATATTTGCACAGATAGTCTCTAGTCCAGAATCTCTATTGGTCAAGATAGTCTATATTCAAAGTCCATATTTGTCTAGGTAGTCTATATCAGAGAGTCTATATTTGGCCAGGTAGTATATACTCAGGTCTATATTTGTCCAGGAAGTCTATATTAGAGAGTATATATGTGCCCTGAAAGTCTATATTCGATACTCTATATTCTTCAAGAGAATTTTTATTTGAAATTATATATTTTCTCAAATAATCTATAATTGAGAGTCTCTATTTGCCCTGAGACTCTAGATATTTGAGTCTATATTCACCCAGAGTCTATATTCGTCATACAAACCGTAAGTTATGCAACAATTTAAAAATCCATTAGCAAGGTAATAACAGATATTCCATTTGACTTCATTACAATCAGTAAATACCAGCCAATATAGCCTAATCAATAAGTAATATCTATATACCAAGCTTGCTTTTTTAATGATTACTAGTTATAAGTGCCTTGATTTTTATTTGTCCCAACCCAAGTCATCTAGTGCAATCTCGAGAGACAATCATTAGAAAACAATTGACAAGTTCTTTTTAAGAATAACTGTAAAAACTGGTGATGTGAAGAGCTTTATATTGGAGATTTATTGTCTTAGTTCAAGTGCTATGAAGGAAATCCATCACATTGTCGCAAGCTAGAAATTAAAGTTTTAAATGCAAGTAACTTTTGCTTGCAACAATTGAATATGGAATATTTTCTAGATCTAAAGTGGCGAATCTTAAAGAGACAGATGCGCATTTTTTTTGACTAATCCTACCTTAGTCTCATGAACAGGATTGTTTTAGCTAAGCTAATCAGAATAGTGTTCATAGCTCACCTTCAAAACTCAACGTAAAAAGGCACATGCATTTCTCTAGATTGCTATGTATAGTTTTCAAAAATTTTGACCTACAAAAAATGAAGAATGTCCTTTTAAAATCTTGATTCAGACAGACCACAGTGATACCCCTAAGAATGTGGCTGCATTAAAGGAATACTACGTCTTAGAATGAACATAAAATTTAAGAATTTTAAACTTGGCCAATAAGAGCACATATTCGTCAGTAGATATTCCTGGTGTCATAAATAACATAACAAGATCCTTATATAATCCGATAAATCCAAAAAACTTAATAATTATGCAATTAACCATTGAAAAACGCTTAATATTATTTTTTTCAATGTTTTTCAATAATTAAGCTTACTTAGTGATATGAATTTTCCATTTTCGATTTTACAGGGATTCTGTTGTAACTTTATGACACCACGTCATATTACTGATGAATATATACTCATATTGACCATTCTTGATAACTTAAATTTTATGTTCATTCTATGACGTAGTGTCACTTTAAATTATATTCATTAACCAAGTTCATGTATTATTGTATTATGTTATATGACATATACAGTATCAATATTTACCATCAATATTCTGTTTTGTTTTCAATAATTATTCTTATACCAATCTTTGTTCAAACTCTATATCACTCTACAATTAAACAGTTGTCTTTAATTAAATCACCTTACTCTTATAACAATGGGGTGGAACCTATTAAGTCATATTCTTCTTTCACATGTCATCAAAAAGAAATAGATTTCAAATAGCTTCCTTGTCAATGTACTCTCTGATCATAGAGGTGTTAAAGGTGTTCTCCCAGAGAATGTCTGACAGAGAGAGCTGCTACTTTCAGTCGTGGAGCTTCTCTCTGGACTGAAATTTTCTGCTTCTCTAAGGCTTTGAGCTTTTAATTGATGGTCATCGAAGAATATTGCAATACTCACAAAGGACTGAAAGATATCATCAAAATTTGTTTACGTTTTTTCTGTTTTGAAAAGTCAATTAGATACTCTTTGACCACAGAGGTGTTAAATGTGTTCTGCCGGAGAATGTCTGACGGAGAGTGAGTCCTGCTACTTTCAGTAGCACTTGGAGCAATTTGACCCAGCAAAAGTTTTAGAAATTTAGATGGGAGATTCTCTGCTTCTTTAAGATTTTGAGCTTTTAATTGATGGTCTGTGACTGAAGTTTTTGAAAATTCTTTATTTAAGAAATGTTGCAACACTCACAAAGGAAATTTAGATAAATCTAATTCGAAAGAGAAAGATATCAAAATTTCTTTTCTTTTTGCGAAAAATCAAAATTAAAAGACACATCTCTTGTAGTGTAAGCTTACTACAATAAGTCAAGATTTTGGTAGCTATATATTCAAACAGGAAGTTAATAATGGAAAGGTAAAAAACAAAGGTCTTTCAGCCAGTAGGGAAACTATCAGTGTTAAGCCAATTTAAATTCTGATTTATTTCGGTCCAATTAAGAACCGTCATTTCAATCTCATTTCATTTTTTCTCTATGTTGTTTTTTTCAGTTATTACTGGAACATTTAGAGTGTTTAGTATCCCGGCACGAGAGATCATTAAGAATGACTGTTGTTAAACGTCAAGCAACATCTCCTGCTGGTGTCTCCAGTGAGGTGGAAGTATTAAAAGCATTAAAGTCATTATTTGAACATCATAAAGCCCTGGATGAGAAGGTAACGTAAATAATTTATATTTGTGTTAATATCATGGAGCTCAGTTTCATCTATCTATAACATTTTCAGAATGATAATACATTGTAGAAGAACTACATGTTAGATTTGAATTCTGAGAAGTGATAAGGATATGTCACAACAATACAGAATCCCTCTATAATCCAGTAAATCCATAAAACTAAGTAATAAATCATAAAACAAGTAATTTTGAAACACCTAAGCAGTGTGTTTCAACAATTATTTAGTTTTAATATATATATAATCCTTTAGCGACATTTAGGGGTAGAGATCTCATTAAATAACGGAACACAATTTTATGGTATACTACTCCTTAGTTTTATTACACACTACGTTTCAACAATCTACATTGCCATCTTCACCTGATTGTTGAAACGTCGTGTGTAATAAGACTAAGGAGTAGTATACCATAAAATTGTGTTCCGTTATTTAATATATATATCGTGTTATATAGAGATTCTATTCTTTAGTCATGTCATCTGGAAAGTCCAACTGATAAATATATATACACTTGTTGGTCAAGTTTGAGACTTAAAATTTTATGTCCATTCTAAGAGGTAGTAACTTTAACATGCAGTTAAATACATAACAATAATATCTAAACTGATATTGATCATTCTTTTCTAATGATTAAAAACCAAACAACAAAGATATCAAACGGTATAAAAAATTTGTTGTAGGTGTATTCCTTTGATAATGGTCTAGGTTTCTATAAAATCTTCTATAGTCTTAAATAGAACTAAATCTCTTTGATTGAGATAGACACAAATGACTTCCGTTGAGATCAATTTAGATTTAGAGATATACAGGGGGCATCTTTCAATCTTTATTTAGATTTTACATGCTTAATTGATTTTGACAAGATGTAAGCTAGTTGTCATGGACATGTCAGGTACAATGTGACTCAATGTCTCGCTCAGTGTTAGATATTAGTGTGACTCAGTGTCAAGCGTAATATGATTCAAAGTCATGCGAAGTTCAAATCAGTGTGACCTTTGCCTGGTACAATGTGACTAATGTCAGGTACAATGTGACTAATGTCAGGTACAATGTGATTCAGTTTCAGGTACAATGTGACTGGTGTCTGGCACAATGTGACCAGTGTCAGGCACAATGTGACCAGTGTCATGCACAATGTGACCAGTGTCAGGCACAATGTGACAAGTGTCCAGTACAATGTGACTGTCAGGTGCAATGTGACTTGGTGTCAGGTACAATGTGACTGGTGTCGGGTACAATATGACTTGGTGTTAAGTACAATGTGACTTATGTAATTATGTTTGGCCAAATTGAATCCACTTTGTTGCTTCAACGTATCGTTACTTTTGAGAGATATGGCGCTTAGATTTCAATCAAGTTGCATATATGCAAATCTTTTGGCTTGTGATGTCTCTTTCATGTACTAAACTTGATTCTAATTTTGGTATGTTACACTGTGAAATAGAAACCACTCTGATGCAAATTTACATTATCGTGCTGGTTTAATTTACCTAGAGCATTTATGTATCAGTTGGATCTAGTGGAAATGACATCAAACTCTAATAATTGACCTGCAACTGTTCATAAAAGAATGCTAATGGACTTGTTGGCATTTGATTTTAACAATGAGCCAGCAGTTACATAAAACCTGATAATGTTATTACTGGCAATAGAAAATGATTGTTTCTTGAACGTGCAATAGAATTCATTAATTAGTGACTTCAATACCAATCAATACCATTAAAGTAATTAATAGTCATCCCTGTTGGTTTCAGCTGAATATTTGACCGATGTAATAATATCTAGACTTTCGTAACGGGACCTTTTTGTTCTCTAGTATTATCCATCATTTCGTAAGTCCCTTTTGAATTCCTTTGAATTTTCCTAATATGACTTGTAGTAGGCACTCATGATACACTCATGGTTACTGTAGAAATACAGATCTAGGAGCTTAACTTATTGGTTAAAGGGGAACAGTCAGCATTTTCGGGGATGGATTTGGGTCTTTATTGTGCTTTAATTTTTTCAAGAAGTACTAAAATGCACGAAAATCGCATAATCCCTTCAAATATACCTCAAACTAGAAATTTCACTGTCTATGTGTTTTCTATATATGGCATAGTCTCACTAAAATTTGAGTCGAATTTTTAACTTTCAAACGTGAATAATTATGGATACACATGGATTTGAAGGCTCAAATTTTGACGATGAGCTGTGAACACTATGTATTTTCCAAGGTGTGTCCCTACTATCTTTCCATAACCTCATAAAGGTTCATAACAGACTTAAAACTCCATTTCATTTCAATTCCTTTGAGCCCATTTATCTGGCTTATCTTTATTTTTTGGACTTTGGCAAACAGAAATGGTTGCTGCTTTGTTAGGGTCGTTGTTGTATTTTACAGATTGGTCTTACCTTCAGAAATTCCTACAGATCCATACAAGGTGTAAGCTTATATAATTTAACATAAGCTTAAGAGGTTAATAACAGACTTTAAACTCCATTTCATTTCATTCATTTCATTTGAGCCCATTTAGCTGGCTTGTTTTTTTTTTTTTTGGACTTTGGAGAACAGAAATGGTTGCTGCTTTGTTAGGGTCATTGTTGTATTTTACAGATTGTTCTACCTATCTTGAATTGTCTAAGATCCATCAATAATTACCTTAGATTTGTCAGATTGAATACTTGAGATAGTAGAAATATAATACTTATAATATTTACTATCAACACATTCAACAAGTCCTTGACATTTCTTTATCAAATGTTAATGTGCTATTATAGTCCCATCTTCTTCCTTTTCAACTATAATGAACATGATTCTTCATGGCGTGTTTTGAAGGTTAGGATAATGCCTAACGTTTTTTTGTGCTGATCAGACAATTTTTCTCTGATTTTTAGCTTTTGACATAGAACAAGGGCTGGAATAGTCTTAAAAACCATCTCCAAGCAAGTTTGGATGAATTTCATTCTTGGTTTAATTTGTCTGTGTTTGTTTCACGGCTGGTATGATTCATGTTGATCATTATCAGAAAGTTCCAGGTCTGTAGCTACAAGGGGACAAGGGGGGGGGGGACATCCGGCAAAACCAAATATGGATGGGCCCCCCCCCCCGGAAAAATTTTTACAAAAGAAACAATTCCATTACTAAACATCATACAGCACTATTTTACTTGCCCTATCAAACAATCAAGTCTCTCAAATGCTCAACAATATTTTTAGTTTGATGCTCAACAATATTTTTGGTTTGATGCTCAACAATATATTTGGTTTGATGCTCAACAATATTTTTAGTTTGATGCTCAACAATATTTTTGGTTTGATGCTCAACAATATTTTTAGTTTGATGCTCAACAATATTTTTGGTTTGATGCTCAACAATATATTTGGTTTGATGCTCAACAATATTTTTAGTTTGATGCTCAACAATATTTTTGGTTTGATGCTCAACAATATTTTTGGTATGTATCCAGAAGATCAGAGTTGGAATTGTCAGGATTTCAACTGCTGCTTATTCTAAAGATTGCATGTATCTTTTCACTCTAAAGATTGCTTTAAATTGAAGAGAGATTCAAATCTTTTGTTTTGTTTACAAGCATCAGACACACTGATAGTGATAGCTTTATCCTGGCTCCATTCTGCAAAATTATTAGACTGATGTCTGTGATTGCAGAAAAAAACAAATTATGACCTCACTTTAATCACAAACAATAAAGAAATGATGATGTCATGATTTGGTAGTCGGAAATTAAAGCTTTGAAAATCTTGAAGTTTGTTTTCTCAAGAGTTTTGTGCACTTGGAGTTTTAGTCATACCCAGTATGCAATAATTATACATTGTCCATACATACTATTACCAAGTGCTTGAAACTTGTACAAGTTGGATGTGATAATGGCAAATGGAAATTAGGAAAACAAAGTATTCAACAGGTTTGGCAATCAATATGTTAAAGGGATACGTGCACCGTTAGTACCTTAGTTTGTGTACCTTAGTCTCATAACGGTAATTTTTTGCTAGGCCAAGAGTAATTGTGCTCACAGCTCACTGTCGAATAATGTTCACAGCTCACTGTCGAAATTTGAGTCTTCAAATCCATGTGTGTCCAGAATTATTCGCATTTGAAAGTTAAAAGACGAGTGGTCTTTTCATGAGACACTGCCTAATATAGAAAAGAAATTCCTAGTTTGATATATTTTTGAAGGAATTATGCGATTTTTCTACATTTCCAGTACTTCTGAAGACTTTTTACATATATTCAAGATATATTTAAATCAACCCCACTAAAATGGCACATCTGCCCCTTTAACATAAATTGAAATAGGTACTAATGTGTCTCTAACAGTTCAAATGTTTCCTTTTCTTATTTGAAAGTCTATATTTTTTCACATTAAATATTACATTAGCAGGAGAATCATTGATTTTATGAAAGTCTTTTTAGAACAAAGAAAACACCCTTTCTTCTTGATCTGTGTGTTTGCCTCCCACACCTTCTTCCTTTTTTTTACAATAAAATCATTAAAAATTCAGCATGGTACAGTTGTCTTTTAACTTGACTAATTGCCAGTCATTAGGACTTGAAACACAAATACAGTCAAACTTGTATAAAGCAAGTGGTCAAGATATAATTGATCCAAGAGAATGCAGAATACTGACCAATCTTATTAAAATCAACCGCCATGTTTTATTCCTCAACAACAAAGCGACAAATCGTGTGTCATAAATGAAATTTAATAATTAATGACGTGTATCTGACAAATGGAATTGAGGTGTGCATGGGATACTTGCAATGCAGACGTAAGATATTCAGAAAGATGGAATGAAGGTCATTCTGTGTGGTTGTTTGTGGTGATTAACAACTGTATCCATGTGCAGAGTAAGCTGCTGGTGGAGTTGGGAATTAGAAATGGCGACCAACTGAAGGTGGTTAGTGAAGGACCAGGACAAGTCCTGCAAACATTTTATTTTTCTCTAAGGAGGTCTCTTCCACTCTCGGATTCAAGCGACAGCGCAGTTGATGATTAAAAAATGCCCCTTTTGCAATACAGTACTTCCTATGATTAGCCAAAATGAAAATTTATAATGATGATCAGCAGATGATATAGAAATGTACATTGAAAGAGTTACTTTTGGAATTGCTGCCAATTTTTTAAGAAATGTGAATCAAAATGTAACTTTTCAACTAAAAGTTGATCTGATAAATTGCTAATCCAATTTTCCAATAACTTGAACCCTGATCTCTTCGACAAACTTGCACAATTTCTTGAGCGACCAATTTTATAAAATGATTTATGTCCAGAATGTCATTAATATTCATGATGAAACTTGATTTTCAAAGCAACCAATCAACATGCATCTACACACAGTTTGTTTTGTATTTATAAACACACACAGATGAATATTACATCAGTATGGGCAACCCCTCTCAAAAGAAATATCTTTAAGGTCATTTTGATTGGTTAAACTTCACTACCTCATATGAAGCTGATACCAATGAACCCATGTATTGGCACAAAACAGATCTATGTATTTGGCAACAAATACCAATCTGACCATAAGTGATTCTGGTAAAGAATGATTTGGTGCAGTCTAATTAAACTTGGACCAAACTTTTGTTCTGTTGCTTATTAAATTTTTTTTTTGTTAATATTATCACTTCAGTGAGAGTCTAATCACAGCCCTCCAATTAACCTTTTGACCTAACCTGTTATACACTGTGTCACAAAATGTCAGTGCTGGAGATGGTAAAAATTTGGATGGTTAAAGCAGACGTCATCGAGTTTGGTCAAAAGGTTAATGTGACAAATGTTCAAGAAGACTGTCGTTAGATCCTAACTGAAGTGGCAATATTTAAGTTAAAAGCTATTTTAAAAAAAAACAGAACAAAAGTTTGGTCTAATTTTGATTAGACTGTGATTTGGTGGTACATCAATTTAGAGTGCCTAAATTGCGTGTCATCAATAATTTTGCTGTAAAGATCTCAAGTAGGATATAAATATAGTGGGAAAAGCCTTTAAAAAAGCAGGATCTAAATGAAGAAAGAAATTACTTCTTTCTTTACTTGATTAATTATTTATCTCTGTACCTTGGTTTCTTGCCAACAATCGTTATTTTACATTGACTAATGACTTTCAGTAATATGCTATCAACTATAGTTTGTCTTTATTTAATGATGAATATGATAAAGCAATGCTTGAACTTAAACTAACCGAAAAAAAATATATATATTAATCACGAAGGCCCTTTGTGATACGTACAAGCATGTTTTGCGATTAGTGATGTCATCAAACACGTAGTTCTAGTCGAATTGCAAGAACCACAGATGTCTGATTGAAAATTTAAAAGCGCAATTTGATGCTTTCAGTGTCCCTGATAAACATACAAAATTTAGAAAACCTCTTTATAATCATCAAAAAATGCTTAAATCCCCTTTGAAAATGATGAAATTCACCCTTGACAAATTTTCAAAATTGCAAAAAATTCAAACATGAGGACCACTGTTTTTTTATCCTATTTAAACAGGGATAGATTCTTATTTGAATTGTTAATTAATGAGCAATTAGTGTGCCAATCATTCCTAAGTCCCAGAAATGCAAATATTTTAGCTAAGCCAATCAGTAGTAAGGTTCAAAGCTCTCCATCAAAATTTGAGCCTTCAAATCCGTGTATGTCCAGAATTATACACGTTTGAATGTTAAAAAAGTTAGTGTTGAAAAGGTTAATCAGTTAACCGATTTCAGGTAGTATTTCAGGGGTAACCGGGTTTGATTTGAAAATCGGTTAACCGTCAATTTTATAAGAAGTAAAAACTATTAGTTTTATACCAGTTGTGGAACCAGTACACTGATTCGCGGCGACTTCAATGAGATACACTCATTACACTGAAACCTTTGATCTGTTAGAGACTGTCGCAATGGGTGACAACGACGCCAGTCTGTCTGAACTCTGTCAGACCCGCTCGTAATCTTATATTGAAGCAGACGCTTCAATGGGTTGTTTGGTATCTGTCGATTTGATTCGCGGGGAACTAGCCAAAATCTTCCTGGGTACTCATTTACACTTACTCTAGTTTAGTTAACGGTGAGTTACCGCCGCAAATGTGATTTTTTACTCCTTTTATAATCTTGAGTAATTAACCGGGCTTAACCGGATAACAAATGGTTATTGCCGACAATTACCTGGTTCGTAAAATTCATTAACTGTTTCAACACTAAAAAAAGTCGTCTTTTATTAAGACACTGCCTAATATACAAAATACATTTATAGAATAAGGAAAAGAAATTCCAAGTTTAAGATATTTTTAAAGGAATTATGCGGTTTTCGAACAATTCTAGTACTTCTGAAGACTATTTACAAATATTCAAGTCTCAATCAATGGCACTTCTGTCCCTTTAATGATTCCACTTCTATAATTAGAGTTTCTTAATTAGTACAGCAATTAAATAAATGAAGATAATTCCCTCTGTATTAGGTTTACACACCAGTTAGCAACACAATAGCAAGCCAATCCAGAATGGCTGAATGCCTATATATATTGTTTGGCCAGATCAAGAGAATAATATAAAAGTGAATTAGTTTGTAGTTGTTAGTTGGTGATGTAGAAGATAAATTGTTAGCTTTATTAATTATTAATAAATGTTCTGAATAGATAGTTATAGTGTCATCTATCTTATATTTTTGCACTCTACTGATATTGGTCTCTATTCATCAGATTAAGCAGGAGCCACTGTGGCTTAGTGAGTTGAAGGTCCAGGGTTCAATCCTGGCATGGGTCGAATTAATACCTTCTGATTTTTCAACCCGGTTACCCCTTGTCAGTGATGCAGGTAAGAGGGTCTGACATGGAAAAAGCGTCTAGTCATTAAGATGGGACAATAAACCGAGGCCTCGTGTGCTACAGGTTGTGCACGTTAAAGATCCCTCGACAGTTGAA